CTGCAATTTGCGCTTTAATGTTTAGCTGGTCAACTGTATGGTATGGAAATCTTACATACCTACTATATGAACATGTCTCATACAGCTGCCATTGCAAGGCTCAGACACTTTGTAGAGAAGAATTTAACACAACTGCCTCTAGGAGTCGCCAATGGAAATAAAACAGACACGCACAAAAAATGTGCGTACGCCTGCCAGAAAGCTGCCGTGAACCTGTGTACATTCCCACGTTCAGTTCATTGTTAGTAAATCCAAACGTGAGCGATTCTGAGCGTGAAACCTGGCGTACGCAAAGTTTTTGTGCGTACGCAGCGTTGATACATGAGACCCCTGGTGTTTACATTTTGGCCATGTGATTTTGTGCTATGTTCATGTAAACACGCGGTTAATGAGTTCTCTCATTGGCTGCATGTGTTCTAGTCTCGTTTTATGTGAACACATGGCTTGTACTGTTTGTTTGTGCCATGTGCTCTCCTGTCTATTGTCTAGACTCACCCTCCTTGTTAACCCTTTATTAGTTTTTTATGTTCACCTGTTTGTTTGTTAATTATTTCTGCTTATATTCTCCTAATGTCTGATGTCCTGTGCTAGTTCGTCGTTTACAGTCCCATGTGTTCCTGCTCCAGTCCTGTCTTGCCAGCTCAGCCAAGTTTGTTTGCTTATTTGTGTTCTAGTTATGTTTTTTAGCCCCCTCGGGTGGTTTTTGTTGTCCTTTCATTTTATTTTAATTTTATTTTTCATCCTTCCTGAGAAATTGTAACAGCGTGTCAATGCATCCCAAATTACTAAAACGGCTGTTTAGCTTTGGGGAAAAATAGAGTTGATAATATGATGTGAGGTTTAGTGGTCGAGTTAGAATTTTGGGAACACCATATATATTGTATCTAATGCCCTTCCATTTATATAAACATTAAATCTAATGCCCTTTCAAATATATATATATGGCATTAGATACAATATTGTATCTAATGCCATTCAAAACATAATGAAACTAACATATGAGTGTTTGGCGTCATGGATGAGAGAGGGTGCGATTGCGCGTGGTGTTCCAGTGTAAACCAATGTGCTGGTGGCATGTGTTTGGGGTTATGCGAGTCCCCGGAGTGGAGTATCACTTACCCCGCTGAGTTTTTTGGCAAGACGAGTGAGAAGCAGAAAGAGAGAGGAAGAGAGGGAGGGAAAGTGAGAGAAATGTAAAATGAAACCCTAATTCCTCTTTCAAAGTGCACAGAAATATTTATGCCTTCATTGCCAAGCACCTCTCCCTTCTCCCTCTCCGTGTTGGGTCTTCGTCTCTCGCCCCTTCACTCCATCTTTGTGATTCCCCATTGGGCTTTGATCTCTTTCACTCAAATATTCTTTCCTCCTTTCACCAGGCACGAACAAAGTAATAAAAAATGACCTAAACACAAAAGAACAAAAGATAAGTGGGTGGGAATGAAAATGGGTAAGGCGAAGAGGAGGGGTAAGGGGGGGATGAGAACAGAAAAGAGGAGCAAGATGGTGTTCGGTGTCAAGGGCCACCCAGGACAGGCAAGATATTGTAAATGTTTACCAGGAAACAATTGAAGTGCTCTTAATTTCCCATTTCACCTGTTTCCACCCCAGCCAGTTGTCTTTAGGTCAAACATGTTGCAAGAATGCTTTGAACATTTTCTCGACGGTGGGCTCAACCCACTATAGGGAGATATTTAGATATTGTTGATAACTCTGCTTCTAGCCTAAGGGCCTGCAGCTAACAAGCTAACAACGAGTAAATAAAAAGCTACAAAGGCAGAGGCAGCAGTGGATGTCGTAAAAAAGATTAGGACAGCGATAAGAAGACAAATAGCTCCATTGATTTAAGTGTAATGACTATCGTCTGCTGTTGTTGTTGTACGAAGAGGAACATGTGTGGACATGAAGCTATTGTGTGAACACAATCGGCAAGGTGTGTGATGTGTGACGCATCGCCTCGCGCTATCTCTGTCAAGTGCTTGTAATACACGCGTCGTGCTTTGTCAACATGCGGTGAGCGCCCGCGACCCCACAGGGCTACATTCCTCTCTGTGACAGGGAGAAGAAAGTCCTTCAATAAGAAGCAATTTTGTGTGGGATGTGCAAAACTAATAATCGTAAAACTGAAGTGTGTGTGTGGAGGGCTACAAGTCAAATAGTTCTTTAAAGCGGGCAAATGTGATTGCCAGGTCTTGCAAGAAAGGCAGTTTGGTAATAAAGTAAGGAAAAGCAACTGTTTAACTTAATTAATAAACAGAAAACATGTTTAAAAATGTAGCTTAAATATTATATATCAATTTATATTTGAATTATAGTTTAAATATATAAACTACATAACATAAAATTGTGACTTGAGACATTTTTTTCTTCCACTTTACTAAAAATAAATAAAAAAACACATGATTACCTAATTTATTAATTGTATAAATGTAATAGGGCTGTCAAAATGTTACTTTGAAAAATTAATAGTTAGGATGGGGTAGGCTAAAATTGTGCCTTTTCACCAATCACCAATTCATTCATTTTCTTTCCTTTCCTTTTATTAATCAGAGGTCGCCACAGCGGAATGAACCGCCAACTTATATAGCACATGTTTTACACAACGGATGCCCTTCCAGCTGCAACCCAACACTGGGAAACACCCAAACACTACAGCCATTTTAGCTTATTCAGTTCACTTACAGCTCATGTCTTTAGACTGTGGGGGAAACCGGAGCACCCGGAAAAAACCCATGCAAACACGGGGAAACATGCAAACTCCACACAGAAATGCCAACTTCTTGCTGTGAGGCTATCGTGTTACCTGCTGCGCCACCCTGATGCCCCAATGACCAATTGTATATAATTATTTTTTACCACAAAAGAAGATATTTTTGAGGAATGTTGTAATATGGGAGTAACATATAGGACAAAAGTGTATTTTTAATAGCTAAACACAAACAGATTTTTTTCAGATTTTAACAGATCTCAGCAGCCAATTGTAATTATTTTGGCTGATTTGTGCAGTCTTATTCATATTTTTTGTACATTCTACTGAAGCAGTATTTTTTGTTGGTTATGTTTAGAGGCATTGTTAAGGGCAGGCCAACAATTTAAAAAATACATTTTTCATATACCTTGTGAATTAGTCACTGTTTCACTAAAATGTAAAATGATGAGTTTTATTTAAATGTAAATTTATATGATTTTCACATATTTTTATCATTTCTATTTTTTCAAAGGTCTGCTAGATCTCGGTTAGGTGTGGGCCTTAATGCTCGTTTTGGGTCTTTTCCTTCCTAAATGTTTTAATAGTACGAAAACATTCCACAAATCATCACAGATTTGCCGAAATGTTAAAATGCTAGCGGTTTCCCAGAGATGGGTTGCAACTGGAGCATCCGCTGCGTAAAACATGTGCTGGAGAAGTTGGTGGTTCATTCCGCTGTGGTGACCCCGGATTATTAAGGGACTAAGCTGAAAAGAAAATGAATGAATGAATAAAATGCTAGCCTAGTTTATATATATATATATATATATATATATATATATATATATATATATATATATATATATATATATATATATATATATATACATATATATATATCATTAAAGGTATATTAAGCATATAGGCTCCTTGTTTACATATTTTTTTTATATTATTAATTAATAATTATAAATGCCTACATATAGCGCCAAAAAACAGATACATTTTTTAAATGTTTGTTTTAAAAGTGTATAAAGCGCAAATATCAACTCTAAATGCGCAGCGCGCCTGGTGCCTGCTGTCGCCAAGGTAAAATCTGATTTAACCCGCGCATTAAAATTTGCCGTTCGACCTGGCGGGGAAGGCCATCCATCAAAAGTAAATGGTTAACGACTTCTTTGTACGCCTCACATTCATCATCGAGTCTCCATGGCCCGCGTCTTCATTAGAGACCCAAACTTCGCCTCTCTTACTAAGACCCTACCCCCATATGCTCTCTTTTCTTCCGCTTCAACAGCAGGGGTGAGGGGGAGACTAAAGACCCTCGGAGACACTGCTGCAACCTCCTGGCCTCTGCTAGGTCACCTTTTGTGCCTGCGTCATTCTCCTCAAATGCGTCCTCCCGCTCCCGTCGGGACCTCTGGAATTTCCACCACCCGCAAAAGACCCTCCGCGTCTCCTCTCTGTCCCAAACGGGGAAGATGCTAACCACAGCGGAGACAGATCCTGTTACAGGAGCTCTGAGTGCGCGCTGCTTTGAATAACCGCCGAGAAGGCTTGAACTTGACAGCTCTGTTTTAACAATTAGCTTTGGACAAATACTGTGGATTGTTTTGTATATTAAACATAATTCACATTTGTGTGCCCAAGTCATTTGCACACAGCTTTTATCTGTCAAAGAGGGAGATATGTCTTAACCTATTTCTATTCTATTTCTATTCTGTTCTAGCGAGTTAATAATATTAAGATGTTTTAGATTTATTCATTTTTTATAAAATGTAATATAATATTTGGGCACATTGTTCCTCTTGGAAAGTTACTGCCACAGAAAAGCTTTAAAACATTATTTTATTTATTACATATTAGATTTATTAAATATTAATTTTAAACATTATTTAAAAAGTGCAATATAGTAGAGAAATGGGAGGAATGCTGGGGTATTGCAATCGATGCGTCTATTTTTCCAAATATTTTCTACATTTATATATTTTAAATAGTTTTGACTGTAAATTTATGTTTGATTTGTAGCTTGTCACATATTAAGAAAGTAATCAGTATTATTTCTTTAATGTTAAAATAATTCTTAATAAATCTTTCAAATAAATAATTAAGACATGCTCTGATGGGCGTTTTCAAGCGCGCACATGTCTTAAACATGGGCGGGACAAGACAATAAAATCGAAGTCTCATTGGCTCCTTGATTTGACAGGTCAAAAGGAGGGTGGAGTTTGTTGAAAAAGGGGTGTGTGCGCACAGATTGAGCGTAATAACCGGCTCGATTTTTTGGTACAACTTATTCATCACAAGCTATAACTTTTGGAAGAACTGACTGAAAGCCTGAGACCGGAGGAAAAGGCACAGTTTGACATCTCCACTTTCCTTTGTCAACGGTAAAAGAAAAAGAGCTGTAGAAGGTTTGAGGAAGGAGGAAAATCACGTTGGCTTTATCAGTGGGAATTTATCACTGCTTTTTAGAATCAGAGTGGCTGGTACTTTTAGAGAGTGTCAGGTTCAAAGACTGTGACTCATCGGAGAAAAGTGATAGGTTACTTTCAGAGGAACGACAGAACGGAAGATGGATCGTAAAATTCCCGATTTTGCTGGTACCTGGAAAATGAAGAGCTCTGAGAACTTCGAAGAGCTTCTTAAAGCACTAGGTAAGTGTTATTCATGATGCGGACGCGCGCGCAGAGAAAGTGCGCAAAGCTGACTAGAGCGCGGGCATGGACATCCCAGCAAATTCACCCCCTCTCACTTGTGTGCTTGCAAAACCGTTTAATTGTTTGTAACATGTGACCACCCAGGTGTGTCTTATGTAATGATAATTTATTATGCTTATTTATTTTAGTAGTTCATATACACCAAAATCGCATGCTTTAATGCGCACGCGTATGCACACCGACACCGGTTTATAGTTCATCCAAAAATTATTTACACGTTCTCAAGTGGCCCCAAAGCTTTATGAGTTTCATTCTTCTGATGAACGCAAAACTAGATATTTAAAAAAAAAAAAAGCTTAAAACCAGACTTGATTGTGAAAAACAAATAGTATGTCAATATAGTTACAGGTTTCCTGCATTTATGAGCCGAAAAAGAAACTCACAAAGGTTTGAAACAAGTGTAGGGTGAGAAAATGATGACATAATTTCCATTTTGGGGTGAACTATTCCTTTAATGAACTTAAAAGGGGTGGCATAGCGTTTGCGTGCAGGATTCGGCTTTTTCGCTTGAACATTTTTATTTATTGTACTATACTGGAGCTTTTAATTTGCTTGCGTCAATTGTGTGCAAAAGTGTGCGTGTTAGAAAGTCAGTTAAATAGATCTTTATTCTCCAATTCGAAAATTCTTTTTTACACCGAATGCTTAAAGTCCCTGAGAGGGTTCCCAAAATTTGTCTAACGCCCGATTTAATGAGGGCACCGCTGCCACCCAAACACCCCTCTCCAAGAGTCTGTGTCGAACAAAAGAAGCAGATTCCATGAGTGGGGAGAGCGAGTCCTTCATTTCACCATTGAAAAGAATGATGAAATGAAGCAGACAAGTTAAAGAGGGCGGAGAAGGAGCACAATAGAGAGAGAGAGAGTCCTGCTGGTTTTGACATGGGAACATGATGTATTATATGAATACCCCATGCAAGGGATGAGATCTTTTTGAAAAAAAAAAAAAAAAACTATATGTGAGGAATGTGTTTGATTGACAAACAAGTTGATTGTGGTATGAACTTTGCACGACAGACAAGCATGCGTACATAAAGTATGCAACTCTAAAATAAACTCACTTTTTTTTTCTCAACTAGACATTAAAATTATATTTGCTCACATAAATATTTGTGTTCACAGTTGGGCCCAACCTGTCACCACACCCTGTCATTCACACTCCTCCATCCCTCTATCCCTCTATTCTGAAATACTTCCTTTGACCTTTAACCTGCGACACTGACCCTGACCGTCTGACTCCTCTAACATCTTTTCTCAGTTAGTTAAGGGGCTTGAAGCAGTACTTGATCTGACAGAAGTCAGTTAACTTTATTAAATAAGGGTTTTAACAGCCCAGATTCCCACCGGGTTCCCTCTTAAGTTCTTCCGGTAACATTAATCGAATGCTCATGAAAATGTCTGGTCTTTAGTTCTGCACATAGTTCTACATTATTTACACACTGTTCAGGGTCTTTTTAATTTCTGATAATTTAGAGATCATTCAAAGCCGCATTCTCATAATTTTTGCACTATAATCAAACAGAGTATCACCTTAAAGGGATAGTTCACCCAAAAATTTATAATTACTCACCCTTAAGTGGTACAAAACTTTAAGTTTCATTCTTCTGTTGAACACTAAAGAAGATATTCTAAAGAAAGCTGAAAACATGTAGCCATTGACATCCATAGTAGGAAAAACAAACTGGAACTCGATGGTTAGATATTCTGGAACTCAATGGTTACACACGTTCCGTCCTTCTTCAGAATATATCATTTTGTGTTCATCAGACAAAAGAACATTAACAAGTAAAGGGAAAATTACCTTTAGCATCTAAGAAGGGACCATTGAAAAAAAGATGAGGGAAAGTAAATAATGAAAGAAATTTCACTAATTCATTTTAATGTTGTCCCTAAACCTAACATAATCAAATAAAATAATTTAGATATTTTGAATGTACAGATAATACCCCAAAATATATTTTATTCAGTAATATAAACATATTTAGATAACACTTTATTTTGATGGTACGTTTGAGTATTAGTAGACTGTTTAATATCTGCTCCTTCAACAGACATTTAACTGACTATAAGAAACTTTCCAAGTGCATGCAACCCTAACTCCAACCCTAACCCCAACCTAACAGTCTACTTATATTCTAATGAGAATTAGTTGGTATGTAGATGCAGTGTAACATAAATTCAACAAACGGACCATCAAAATAAAGTGTGACCCATATTTGTGTTTAAAAACTGATTAAAAGTCCTTATAATCTTAAACTGCTTTTCCAAAGTTAGGCCTATTGAAGACAACATTAATAAAAATATCAGCAAAAAAACACTAAATACACTGTAATATGCATGTGGGCCAATAGTGGACAATGTCACTTTGTAAAGAAACACAGAGCATCAGCACATGTATTTATTTTTTATGCATAAACACAACAGAAAATAGTCCTCAGTTGTTTTAGTCAAGTATTCACAAAGCCCAATGAACTCATAATATCATGTTTAAAATTTCCCCGTTTTCACCATTCTTATATATATATATATATATATATATATATATATATTGTAGTTTATAACAGATTTGTTTCCAAAGCTGTGCACTTTGAAATAATTTTATTCAAAACTCCAAGACCCACATCAAAACGCAGTTTAGTGTAGGCTTAAATTGTCATGATTTTTAATCCACAAATTGTGTGTGAATATTTGTGCTCTAGTGTCAGAGTCATTGAAGTACTGGTCAATGGTCTGTGTCTCTTGCTGAATGTGAGTCTAAATTTTGGCATCCCTCTTGTCTGCGTTCATGCATATATATTTACTCTTGGTGACAGGTGGGGATATGTGTGAGGCAAGTAGTGTGAAATTCTACTCGATGCACACACATACAGTACACAGAGACTGGCCTCTTTAGCTTTCTTTTTCCGCACTTGAACAGTCTTTTTTTCTATGTCTCTGCTGCCATTCTTGCTCGTTTTCTTCCCTTGTCAGTAATCTTGCCCTCCCTCAACTGTGCCATGCTTTTTTCATTGTTGCCTTTGCCCTTCCCTACTTCCACACTGAGCTCTATCCATTTCCTGTCAGGAAGGTTTAATAGATTACAGCATCCCCTGTGGCTGGTTGAATAACTTCCCCCTCTCGGTGCGCTCACCCACCTACACACACACACACACGCACAGCAGGAATCCATCTGAAATGGATAATAATCGCTCTGTCAATAAGAGCTGGCTCATACTGGGTGAACATTCTCCAACAAAACTTAGTGTGGCTTAGGCGAGTAGCATCTAATATGTAAAGAATTACAACACAACTTTATTATATAATGTTGAATGCGGTTAAATGTTAAGTATGCAGGTATAAGACACAAATAAACAAAAAATAAACAAATAAACAAAAAAATATAGATATTATGAGCACTATCACACAAGTAGCAGTGCGATATGGCTGTATATCAGTACTGGTGGCAGGGGTGGGCTCTGCTACTCGTGTAATATTGCATTTATACAACAGTTTGACGGCATAATTGTGTAAATAAAAAAAGAAAATCAAACACAGAGAGTCTCTAAAAATTCTTTTGTATGTGGATCTATCTTCTGGAATTCATTTACATCTGCAGCTGATGTCAAAACAGCAGAAGCTGTTACTTATTCACCAAAGTCATTTTAGAGCTTGTATTTAAATGATTCTATAGTGTAATGTCTAAAGTGATGACAAAACATGTGATTTTGCTCACATCTTAAGATTATAAGGCTGGACGGCATGAAATAGAATCAGTCTAAAGAAATTTTCCCAGTATATCTCTGTTGTAATCGGAATATCATAATTAATCCCGAAAAAGCCAAAGAAGGGCCAACTCTACCAGATTACTGCCGTGTTTGCGATAAGAAAAAATGCAGGCATTTCTTCTTTCTTCCTTTTTACTGAACTAGTGTGCAGTAACTAAAACAGGAGACTCATTAGAAACAAACAGACGGCCATTCAAACAGTAACTCAGGGTTATACAAAGAGTGGCCAACACAAAATAAATACATTCCTAATATGTAAGTCCCATCTCACACTCAATACAGTAATTACTATGGTATAAATACAGCACTACAACATTAAAAAGAGAGAGATCGACTTAGAAAGACAATAATGTTTTGATCAGCTGCAATTTGAAAATACGGCAATCTTTTCTGCTCTAAGGGCTTATTATGCGGTCTCTTTCGCCATCTTGTGAATAGACGATGTCCACCTTCTTTGCTCTGCTCAATAGCAGGCTGATGGAAGCTGATGCTCTGTATCTCAGGGCGTACTCACACTATGTACAGTTGCCTTGAACCAGGCCAATGCACGCTTGTCCACCCTCCCGTTTCCCCCGACGGCCAGCACTCACATTACATTCGGGCCTGGGCATGCTTACGTCACTGATGCTACGCTGTTCATTAGAGAAGTGCTCCTGCTCAGCACAGTGGAGATTTCTCTAGTTATATTGTTTTAGTCAATTGTGATGCCGTGACACACAGTCAAATATTTTGCCGAACAGATCCGCCACTTTTGACGCTTATAAACAGTCATAAAGTCCTTGTGCTGCAGGAAGCATGAGGTTTGCTGAAGGCGCAGCTGTAGTGCAGTGAGGGGTTTGACTTTAATAAACTACGACCGTTTGTGTTCATCGAACGGTAATAATTATAAATAGATACATATGAAGCAGTCCCTTGAATGTCACGTCTTGCTTTCAGTTTAGGGCTTATGCGTTCAGGCACACCTCTTCCAAGTGAACCGTGCCTTAGCCCGATTCAGCACTCACACTTCTCAGGGCCTACTCACACTATGTCATCCGTACCGTGCCCAGGCCCGTTTCCTGGATCGTTTAAGAAGTGTGAGTGCGCTGAATCGGGCTCAAGCACGGTTCACTTGGCCGGCCCTGGCTCGGTTGGAAGAGGTGTGCCTGAGCACGGTTCACGCTTGTGTGTGAGTGCAAAACGCGCCAAAGCCCGAAACTGAAAGCAAGACGTGACTTTTAAGAGGCTGTTTCATATGGATTTATTAATCATTCTTACTGTTCAGTGAATGCAAACTGCCGTAGTTTATTAAAGACGAGAACTCACAGCACGACAGCTGCGCGGCTTCAGCAGACCTCCTCATTCCTGCAGCACGAGAGCTTTATGATTGTTTTCGAGCGCCAAAAGTGGCGGATCTGTTCGGCGAAATATCTGACTGTGTGTCACAGCATCCCTAAGGACAGTGTGGCGAAATATTTGACTGCATGTCACTACATATCAAACGACTGAAACGATATAACTAGAGAAATCTCCTCTGTGCTGCTGAGTGAGAGAGCGTTTCTCACTGAGCAGCGCAGCAGCGATGACGTAAGCGTGCCAAGGCCCGTTTGTGGTGTGAGCGCAGGCCGTCGGGGGGACAAGCGTGCTTTGGCCCGGTTCGAGGCAACTGTACCTAGTGTGAGTACGGCCTCAAACAATCCTGGAAATGGGCCTGGGCACAGTTCGGATAGCGAAGTGTGGGTAGGCCCTCAGTAATTCTAAATATTTAAAGGCCACGAAACCCCCTATCTCAGCTAGGTGTTTACACACCTCTAGTTTGGAAAAGGTCAAGAAAGAAGGTTTGTCCAGTTCTGTTTAGGTGAGAGCGTTGGGGGAGGAAAAGAGGGAAGGTTTTGCATAAAACTGGGAGTTTCCGTTTGGGCACACGCTGATTTTTACAGAGGCAAAACAAACACACAGACGCAGGGGAGAAAAGACATCTCAAGTCTCATAAAAGTTGTTGGAGTATCCCGCAAAAGCATAGAGACTCCCGCTTGCCCGCATATGAATGATAATCTCCCGGAAATTGCACACCTCCCACCCGGTCCTTAAATACGTTGCACACCCCTCTCTCCACCGCATCCCTCCTAGCTCTTCATGTACGTCAAACGCAACTCACCCCACCGCTCTTCAGGTACGTCGTGCGCGACTCACCGCCACCGTTCTTCAGGTACGTCGTGCGCAACTCACCCCCACCGCTCTTCAGGTACGTCGTGCGCGACTCACCCCCACCGTTCTTCAGGTACGTTGTGCGCAACTCACCCCCACCGCTCTTCAGGTACGTCGTGCACAACTCACCCCCACCGCTCTTCAGGTACGTCGTGCGCAACTCACCCCCACTGCTCTTCAGGTACGTCGTGCACAACTCACCCCCACCGCTCTTCAGGTACGTCGCGCCCAATTCACCCCCACCACTCTTCAGGTACGTAGTGCGCAACTCACCCCCACCGCTCTTTAGGTACGTCGTGTGCAACTCACCCCCACCACTCTTCAGGTTTTTTGGAATGTTTGATACCGATACTCACCTAAAAAAGCCTCGAAAGTACATTATGTTGTCCAACAGCTGCAATATTTGTCAAACTATAGTGAGTTTATTGATCTGCTGTCCCTATGTGGGCAGAGTAATACAGAGGTGTGAGACGGCTGTACTAATTCTGATATTGCAAAATATTGCATGGCTATCAGCCAATCAGATTCAAGAACCAGACATCAAATCTTATTTTAGTGGAATTTGTAATTTACGTTTTGTAATAGTTTTATGTGTATATGTTTTTTTATTAGTTGTTGTTAATGCTTGTTGGTAAATGTTACATTGATTAAAAAACAGTTTCAAACATAAGGTTCATGGAAACTAATGACAATTTATAATGCCAAATGGATCATGTACATTGCGATCAGAGAAAATAATTTGATCTCGATACCATGTGCACTCTAAAAAATGCTTGTTGAAAAATATGGAAAAACCCAAATGTTGCTCTATCTTTGATATTTTAAATTTAATTTAAAATAACAAAATAACCCAACATTTTGTTAAGTGTGTTAAGGCCCATGAGACTCTGTACTGATAGCATGCATCTATTCTCTTTATTTTTCTGACCGCTCTGGCTTGTCACATGAGTTTTCCTCTGTGGGTTTATATCAGGTGATGTCATCAGACACTGTTGGAAGAAAGTGCAGATGTGTGGAGCACAGCCAGTCTTAATAACATCACTCTCATTCCCCCGACCTGTCTAACCACAGGTCTTTCTGTCCTTAAAACCATATAAATGAAGAATTCTACATAACGAATGCCAGAGTACTTACCATTCTTGTGTTTTGTCAGGTGTGAACGTGATGCTCCGTAAGATTGCGGTTGCAGCTGCATCAAAACCATCCGTGGAGATTACACAGGAGGGAGAGACACTGACAATCAAGACGTCCACCTCAGTGAGGACCACCAACGTCACCTTCACAGTTGGACAGGAGTTTAATGAGGCCACTGTGGATGGACGTCCCTGCACGGTATACACACACCCATATAAAAACACTTCAGTCATTTGTTTGCCTGTGATATTATTTTCCAAACTGTCCAAAAATCTGTGAAAAGTGTATGTTTATGCAATCCCGATCTCTGATGTGGACTCAATCACACCCTCCATCTCAGAGGAGCATTTAAAGTGGATACACACCCATTCCTTCAGCCTCCGTCTCCTGGACATGGATCTGTTTCTCACTCTTTCCGTCTCTCTTTTACAGTCACAGACCAAGACCTACTCATATTTGTCTGTCTCTGCTTCTCTCAGAGCTTTCCTCGCTGGGTAACAGACAGCAAGATTAGCTGCGAACAGACTTTGCAGAAGGGCGAGGGTCCAAAAACCTCATGGACCAGGGAAATAACCAATGATGCTGAATTGATTCTGGTAAGATTCATTGCTCTCACTGGAAAACAAAATCATTTTACATATTGGAGATTAAGAGCCAGATTTACGAACAGCTTGTGCAAATGAAAACAGTTTTTTTGGCAATAAAACAGCACTGTCAGTATTTACTAAACACGTAGAAAGGAATAGTGCTAAAAAGGCATTGACATAAATATTTATTTGACCTGACCTTCCTGAAAATACATTTGATTTGTGATTAGATGTACATTTTATGAGAACACAGTATTAAAGTATTTCAAGCAATGCAATTTAGCAATGTTTGCACTCCTCAAATGATGGGTATTTGCATCATTATTTAACACCTAATAAAGCACTTGAAACGGCTGCAGTTGTTGTCAGGAGTAGGTGTCACAGAGAACAGATTTTTTACACACATTTATTTAGAGTGCCAGAGGAACACATTGACCAAACATATTGTTTGCCAAATGTGTTTTTTTAATATTTGCATCAGGAATTAAAACACGACATGGAACAAACATCTAGAGTGAGTCATGTAATACTAGCACAATATTATAGTTCTCTCAGTCACCGTGCCTTCTGACGTCTTTGTGCCTGAACTGTCAAAAACTTAAACAGCTGTCAAATAGTACATGTCTCAGATAAATATCAAAAAGTATGCCTGTGGACTATCTCACATTAAAACAGTCAGATTTGGCTCATTGTTAGCGAATATGGTGCTGATCTGATCTGAGGTCTTTCACCTTAGCATGTAAAAGGTTTTTGTCTTTGTCTTATGGTCACTTATATTCAGCTTGATTATTTTGTGATTAACCCTTTCTCTTTGGCTAAATAAACGAAATAAAGAGGCCTCTCACTCTTTTTCTTGTCAGCTTAGTCCCTTTATTAATCCGGGGTCGCCACAGCGGAATGAACTTATCCAGCAAGTTTTTACGCAGCGGATGCCCTTCCAGCTGCAACCCATCTCTGGGAAACATCCACACACACAAATTCACACAAACACTCATACACTAAGGACAATTTAGCCTACCCAATTCACCTGTACCGCATGTCTTTGGACTGTGGGGGAAACCGGAGCATCCGGAGGAAACCCACGCGAAGGCAGGGAGAACATGCAAACTCCACACAGAAACGCCAACTGAGCCGAGGTTCGAACCAGCGACCCATTGACCTTCTTGCTGTGAGGCAACAGCACTAACTTTGCCATTAAAATCTTGATAAATCTAAATATTAATGAAACTTTAAATATTGATTTCAAGTATTAAAATATAAAATATTGTTTTGTACCATGTTATGCACTACCTGACAAAATTATTGTGCCTATCCAAGTTTTAGGAACAACAAATAATATCTTGACTTTTAGTTAATCATTTAATATTAGAAGTGGCTTATATGAATGGCAAAGGCCTCTAGATTATGCTTATTTTACCAAAATATGATCATGTCTTGATTTTTAGTTATTTAAAACAGTAAGGTCTGGCTTTGCTCAAACTAAAGACTTGTCACTTACTAGAAATGATGTACAGTAAAGAATAAAAAGTCATGCTGCAGTGGAAAAGAATAATATTGTGTTTGACTTCCATGAGTATGGAGCACTGCATCCATAAATCTCTGCAATGACTCAAATAACTTATTAATGCAGTCATCTGGGATGGCAGAGAAAGCGTTCTTGCAGGACTCCCAGAGTTCATCAAGATTCTTTTGATTCTTCTTCAGTTCCTCCTCTTTCATCTTACCCTAGACGTGCTTAATAATGTTTATTTCTGGTGACTCGGCTGGCCAGTCCTGGAGCACCTTGGCCTTTGATTTCAGGAACTTTGATGTGGAGGCTGAAGTATGACAAGGAGTGCTATCCTGCTGAAGAATTTGCCCTCACCTGTGGTTTGTAATGTAATGAGCCACAGATATGTGTTGATACCTCAAGCTGTTGATATTGCCATCCAATCTGCAGATCTCTCGCACACCCCAATACTGAATGTGAACCCATGTGGGTTCTAATGCAACTTCTGCAGTATTTGTGTTGATTGGGATGAAGTTCAACAGATGATTCATCTGATAAATCTACCTTCTGCCACTTTTCCAAATGATCAACTAGAAGTCAAGTTATTATTTGCTGCTCTTACAACTAGTATTGATGGCAAGACTTTTGTCAGGTAGTGTAGTAGATCAACTGCACCTAGTAGATGACTGTACACTAATTTATGCTGCACTTATTACTTCTACATCTTTATTTTTTTATTGCTGCATTGTTGGTTATTCATCTGCAATAATATCCACACCTATCGGCACTGTTTTTAAAATTGCGTACTGTTTGGCGAATCTACTCCAAAATAGCTTATTTGCATGATGTAATTCATACAAAAGTATACTATTTTTTAATAGGGAAAAAGCCATTCACCCCACCCTTAAACCAACCATTCACATGACCAAATGATATTAAAAGGTAGACGAATTAATGAAAATCATACAAATAGGCAACAGATTCATTAATTCATTTTCTTTTCGGCTCATTCCCATTATTAATCCGGGGTCGCCACAGCGGAATGAACCTCCAACTTATTCAGCGTATGTTTTACGCAGGAGATGCCTTTCCAGCCACAAACCAGCACTGAAAAACACCCATACACTCTTGCATTCACATATGTACACTACAGCCAATTTAGCTTATTCAGTTCACCTACAACTCATGTCTTTGGACTGTGGGGGAGACCGGAGCACCCGGAGGAAACCCACGGCAACACAGGGAGAACATGCAAACAGAAATGCCAACTGACCCAGCCAGGGCTTGAACCAGCGACTTTTTTGCTGTGAGGTGATCATGCTACCCACTGCGCCTCCATGACACCGTAAGCTCCAAATTAAAATCGACAAATTATTGTGAGATAGCATTGGTTACTCTAATAATTCTTAGGAAGTGTTTACATTTGGAAGGTTTGGTTCCATTAAAAACTATGATTGCTTAGTCGGTGTGGTTTATCTGAATAAGTGCGAACACCACCACGTGAAGCTAAACTGATGAAAAAGTCTCTTGGTTTGCTGCCAATAGAAATTTCGTGTGAAATATGACTCCAAACAGGATCCAAAGACATCTAAACAAACATAAAGCAGGACATGATGTTAAGAAGATGCCACTATAAAAACAGATAGCCCAGGCTTACCTGATTCTATTTATCGATTTTGTTTCACATTATAGTTTATAAAAGAAGGATGAACATGTTTCCTTGCAACACATCTTATTGTCTGTCAGTGTGTGTGTGTGAAAGAGGAATTTCTACCGCTGTTTTGACACCTTTACATTTTTATAATATCATCATCAGTTTGCCGATCATAGAGACCATATGTAAACACACACAGAGCACATGTTAAATATACATGTGTCAAAAGCCATTATTTTAGATTTGTATCTTTAAGATCAGTATTGAAGGAATACGTGAATGCCAAGAGAAACAGGACTGGATGTATTTTTTTTAGCAAACCAAGTAAACTAAACTGCTTGTGTGAACATTCTCTTACACAAATTCATCTTTGATCAGTTTTTATTAATGGACCATTTCCTTCCTGTTTTTTGCAGACCATGACTGCTGACGATGTGGTGTGTACAAGAGTTTATGTCAGAGAGTGAACATATAAGGAAAAAGGAAGAATATCCATCCAGATTGGAGTCTTTCCTCATTAATCACAATGACTGTGACTTGTTTCCTTTCTTCCTAATCTCAACTATCACACTTTTTTTATTGACAATGTATTTGAATAGTACGTCAGAGAGCCATGCAAATATAGTTCCAGAGATTCAAGCAATTTTGTTTTTTTCTGATTGGTCAATTTAAAACTACATAATCTTGGGTTCAAAAGCACTTTTAAAGATTGATCTAAAAATAGATGTAGACCTGGAAATCTGAAGCTTGGAAACCAGTTCACAAGGTACAGTCACATTTAGCATTGTTTTGTCATTTTCATGGGCAAAATAGTTTTTTTTAAGAGCCATCTATACAGTTATTCATGCTGACCATTAGAAACCCAGCGAGCACACAACATCATAAGACGTTAATATTAGGCTACATTCAGATCATGACATCAGGTGACCAAAATGCAATGTCTAACCAGCATCTATTGACAACGTTATTTTGATGTCTAATAATGATGTCAAATTACATTTATATTTGGTTGATTTTAGGTTGTGTTGGAAAGTGACCAAAATCCAACGTCTGATGGATGTCATGGTGTTAACGTCCACACAACGTCAAGGTGCAACATGATTAGATGTTGATTTTTGGTTGGACATTGATGTCGGCCTGACGTTGGGTTCTGATGTCAACCCGATTTTTTTTCCAAACATAATCCAACATCCCCGTGACATTGGGGTACATTGGGGTACAATGTCAATATGACATCCTGTTGACGTCTTGTGCCTGCAGAGAAGGTGCTTAGGAATAAAGTGACTTCTGCATCATTCAATGTTACACAAATTACATTAGACAATGGACTTTTTTGTCCTGAAATGTCCCTCCCTAATATGGCCACACCATTAGAATCTTCCCAAAACATAGCAGTTTAGTTTGTTATTTTTTCCTAATTTTATCCTATGCAAAGATCCACCTTAAAAATGTTACATCCACTGTCCCCATCCATTTCTCAGACAGACCTTTTTATTATATAACTGTATGGAGTGTCTGTTTTTATATTTTGAAGGACCATTCACGCTAAGGATGATAACTGTAATGATAATGGTATACTTCCAAATATTAGAAATATAAAACAATTACAGAAACCTAATCACAATGAATGATATTGCTTTATTTTTTCAAATCAGATTCCATTTTGCTATAACAAGCTCAAGCATTTAAAGTGTCAGACAAAAAACTTGCCTAACTTGTTTTTAATAAACAAAATGCTATCATTCATTTTTGTAAACTTTAATATAGATATCATCATAGTTATAATTCTAGGTGTGAATGTGCCTTTTGTTTATCGTGCCCGAAATGTATGTTCATTTCATTTCATTGTGAGAATTTGTTTGACAAAGATTATATTCATTAGAACATTATGTAACAGTTTATTTTATGAAAAATGACAGATAAAATGCATTTCGACTTAAGTTCATTCCATCTATGTAATATCCAATCAATATTTTAACATTTTTTAAGTAGACCCAGTCATGCCATTAATGAAAATGTCCGATTCATTCCTATGTGAACTTTTTGTCTGAATTAAATACAGCACAAAAAGAGATGGAGTTAAGAAAAAGGGTCATATGTGATTAGAATCCCCTTAGAATCTCAGAAAACAACTGTCTTCCATCTTTACTTTTTTGTATATATTTTAATAAAACATGAATCTGAAAGTTTCATCCAAACAGTTTTTTTATTATGTTTTTATATAAACAGTTCCAGCAGTCATCACTTATTTCTGTGCATGGACAATAAAAGTTTCTGCCCTGAAAAGTGTATGTTTTTCTGTCATTCAGCTGTATTTCTCCAAACACAATATAGGTTATAACAGACATAATAACAGAAGTGTACAGGTAGTTCCATGATGTCAGTGGAATAAATGTCAGTTGATTTTATTTCAAAATAAGTAAAAATTAAAGAAACTACCATGACCTTTTAAAAACCGACCCTCATTCTCACTATCTTTTCTCACTCGGACACACTGTGTTGGGAACACATCTTATTTTAGTATTTCTGCCAGCTGGCTGTAACTAGAATAACTTGCCTGTCCCTCTCCACCCCTTCGTCTCTCCCTGATTTTTCCATCTCAGTCTTTCTTTCTCTTCAGTATCACTCTTCAGTACCATCAATGTTTCTCTGGTTCATTTCTTTTAACTCGGTTTTGAACAGCTGAATGAAATCTAAATTTATTGTAAAACTAAATGTGGATGAAAAACACCCACAAGTAATCCAAATAAATCCTCCAGTAATTTTATCATTCATTCAAAACATTAACATTTTTGTTGCCATGCTGACTACAGATGATGTGTAAACCAAGGGTCATTTATTAGACTCTACCCAATGGAATAAAGCTATTAAATTAAATCGATACAGGTGAAAAAAGCCAATAACTGTCCTTTCTGGGAAATGCCTGTCGGATTACATGGTGAGGTTGATTGACAGCAGATGTGCTAATGGAGTAGAAACCCCAAAAACTTGGGGCCGTATGGAAAAAAAAAAAAAAAGGTTGATGTAAAAATTATATATATATATATATATATATATATATATATATATATATATATATATATATATATATATATATATATATATATATATATATATATATACCTGCAACATTTTCCAAAACAAGTTGGGACAAGAACAATTTAGGGCTAGCAATCAGGTAAATTAGGTAATGATGTGATTTGAAACAGGGGATGTAAACAGGTATAATTATGATTTGGTACAAAAGCAGCATCCAGGAAAGGTATAGTCCTTTAGCAGCAAAGACGGGCTAAAGATTGCCAGTTTGCCAACAAATTTATGAGAAAATTATTGAAAGGTTTAAAAACAATGTTCCTCAAAGAAAGATATGAAGACATTTGAACATTTTACATTCAACAAGTAAAAGATTCAAGGAATCTGAAGGAATTTTAGTGTGTAATGGACAAGGGTGCAAGCCTGAGCATAACTACTGTGATCTCCGATCCCTCAGGCAGCACTGAATCAAGAATCATATAAGTGATATGACCACATGGTCTCAGAACCACTTTGGCAAACCTTTGTCAAGTACCACAACATGTAGTTACATCCACAAATGCCAGTGAAGATTGTACTGTGCAAAAAGGAAGCCCTATGTTAACAGTGTCCAGAAGCATCATCGATTTCTGGGCTCTGAGACATCTTGGTGGGCCATCACACAGTGCAAACATGTACTGTGGTTAGATGAATCAGTATTTCAGATTTAATAATTCAATTTTTGGAGTGATAAATGCTGTGTTTAAAAAAAAAAGGATTATCCAGACTGTTGCAAGCAAAAAATTCAAACGCCAGGGTCTGTCATGGTATGGGGTTGTGTCAGTGCCCTTGGCAAAGGTAACTTGCACTTCTGTGATGGCACCATTAATGCTGAAAAGTACATAGGGATTTTGAGAGCACAACATGCTGATTTCTGTCACAGGGACAACAATGCATTTTTTAACAAGACAATGCAAAACAACATTCTGCAGAGGATACCGTCTCAAATAGAAAATATTTGCTGCATTTTCAAGTGCAAAATGTGACAAGGAAGAGTTTTTGCAGGTAGAATGGGACAAAATTACACCTGAAAAACTTCATCACTTTGTGTCTTCAGTCCCTAACTGAGCTCAAATTCCCCTCTTGCTCTGCAACAGGAGGGAGCCCAGTGCTCAAGGATCTCATAAGCTCAGGGCTCTCTCCTGGGACAGCATGCCAACAAGCTTTATTATCAATAATCAGCTAAATGGGAAATCTTGAAGTGAAGTTTATTTATAAACTAAATTCGAGAGGATCAGGTGCTTATGATTGTTCACAGCTGTTCCAGCATTAGCTCATGACCAATTATGCAATCAGTTGATTCCTAACTCACTATAAATAACCAGAGTTTTCTTATCTCAATATCTTCATCTTAAAGACCCCCCCCCCCCCCCCCCCCCCATAGAACCCTACTTTCCCTCCTTTCAAACGGGCAACACGGTGGCCAGTGATTAGAACTGTTGCTTCACAGCAAGAATGCCTCTGGTTTAAGTTCCTTCTAAACCAGGCATTTCTGTGCTGAGTTTCGTTTGTTCTCCCCGTGCTCGCGTGGGTTTTCCCCGGGTTCTCCGGTTTCCTCCCACACTTCAAATAAGCTCTAAGTGAGTACACCTTAGCCATCAATATCCGTCACTTAGCTACAAATAAGCAGGGGGGAGTCATCGATTTCACCTGAGCTCAAACGCCCCTCTCGCCCTGCAACAGGAGGAAGCCCAGGGCTCGAGGATCTCATAAGCTCAGGGCTCTCTCCTGGGACAGCATGCCAAACAAGCTTTATTATCAATCATCAGTTAAGTGTGAACCTTTGAAATGTCTTTTAAGTGTTGTGAAACGAATGGCAGCATTACAAAGTGGTAAATGTAAACTGTTCCAACTTTTTTTTTAATGTATAGCAAGAACCAAAATTTAAATGTTTATTTAGAAAAAAAAACAACAATAATTTTTTTATTAAACAATAAAAATCATGAGGAACTCATTAAATAATCATAAAATAATACAATAATTGTTGTATTGTCTGCAATGTAATAAATTCAGAATATACTGTAGATTTGCGTTTTCGATTGTCCAAACTTTTTCTGAATTGGGGTTATATATACATATAATGTGAAAATTTCCTTGCTCTGGTAAACATAATTTGTAAAATATTTAAAAAAGAAAAACATTTAAAAAGGGGGGGGGGGTGGTGGTTGGGTGGTAGGGGGGGAGGATGGGGGGGCTAATAATTCTGATTTCAACTATATAAATATATGATGCAACAATTCTGTGGTAACACACCAAGCAATTTTATTTTTAAAAGACATCTAATAGACATCTAAATGTAGACATAACATCAAACAGACAGGGGTCAGGGATGAAACATGTAAAGTCTGTCTAATACAGGGGTCATCAATCTTATTCTTAGAGGTCCGGTGTCCTGCAGATTTTAGCTTCAACCTTTATCAAACACACCTGAACCAGCTAATCAAGGTCTTACTAGGTATACTTGAAAAACCCAGGCAGGTGTGTTAAGGCAAGTAGGAGCTAAACACTGCAAGGACAACGGCCCTCAGGGACTGGGATTGGTGACCCCTGGTCTAATATATCTAGCCTATTTTGGACTTGTTAGCCGTTATAAGACAACCCATATTTAGCTTTGTTTTAGCCAATAATATGCCTATTAGGATGTCTATTAGACGTCTATTTTTACTTCTTTTAATAACAATAAAAGTAACTTGAAACAAAATCGACAAAAGCCCTTTATTTATGTATGCATGGAAACATTTGTTTACTATTTGTAAGGGTTTTGTCGTGTCAACGCTTCTTGAACCACAACTAACCTGTTTGTATGATCAAATTTTATGTATAAAAGGGCATGTGTTGATAAGAAACCTAATAAATAAATGTTTTAGATTTCCAGATACAAGTTTGTAAGCACACTCTTTATCCTTGTTACAATGGGAATAAAGACAAGATGACATAGAGAGATGATAAAATGAGAGATACATTTGAAGAAGCAGTAAAATGGCAGTTTCTATAACAATGTCGTTAAAAATTGAAGTGTATCTGATGTGAGTAGTGCACTGTTTATTTCACAAATTTATTACACGTGACAGCCTAGTAGCTACTGATTTCACGTTTACATAATAACTCCAGACAACTATGCACATATGACCATGTCAGTTACTGTTTTGATTGTACATTATTTTCATATATTGTAAATACATAATACACACATGCCTGACATCATAGTTTGTTGTTTGTTTGTTTTTTCGATGAAGACGATACCATTTTTAAAAACCAGCATTTCAAAACCTGTGCTTAAGCACTCCAAAATGTTGTGTTGTGTACTCGAATGGCCAAAACATATAAACCTTTTTCCCTTTTTATTTGAAAACAGTCTTGTACAAGTGGCCCCTTGAGAGGAAAAGGTAGAAGGTGGAGGTGATGGTGGAATGTGGAGAGGTTTAGGGGTGATGCCTGCAGCTGTACTTGGTTACTGTGTGACCCTAATAAAACCAACCCTTTCTACCTCCAGCCCCTATAAAAGATCCCAAATAACTGCCTCTCCTTCCTCCTTTATTACCCCCTGGGGCAGTAAAAGGCAGCTGTCTCTCTCCTCTCGAAAACCACCCGCACATTTGCACACATATGAAACCAAACATGCACATTCTTCAGAACCTTCACATGTACCATCAAACACTTTGGCCACTGTGAGCACAGACCATAAAACCTCACGCAAACACACACTCACACATATGCGAGTGCCCACAGCCAATAATGGGCCTTAATGTGCCAGAAACACTCGCATATTTTAGTCATTAACTTCAAAGGAATGCAAGAAGATAGTCTAACAACTCATTAGAACATAAGCTGATTTTGATACAGTATGTGCAGGGCAGGTAAATCTGGAATGGCAATCTCTTCTCAGCATTCTGTTTGCTTTGGATTTGGCTGGCAGGCGATTTGACAAGCAGATAAGCACGATACAGGCTCAAAATCACAAACAGAGTAACTGCTGAAATCAAAATCCAGTCATCCAGCATAATTTAATAGTGAAGTGATTAATGAAGTGAAAAGAAGTATAATTTTTTATATAATACACTGTGAAAATCTGTTTTGAAAAATACTATTATGCTTATTTTGATCATATATAACAAGTTTTTTTGTGTTCAATTGATATATTTGTGGTAAATTACTATCAACTGGTTGTTTTTTTGCAATAACAACATGGCTACAATATGCCTCATTTAAGATAA